CTTTGTGTCTTAAATAAAAAAAGATCCTAGCCTTATTCTAAATTAATTTATGTGAAAAAATCTATTTTGAAAAAATTGTCATTTTCGGTCTTTTTTCCAGCATCTAGCCTATGTATTTAATTGTTTTGTAAAATTTTTAATTCTATTAAACATTAATAAAAATTATTTCGCATAATATATAAAGTTTAAGTTTTTAATCTCTCTAATATCAATGTAAAATAATAGGCAATAAAACATTTTATGATTTAATAACAATTTTATATTCTTTTTAAAAATCACCTGAATTTACCACAAACAGTTTTAATATAATTCGAGATCAACAATTAATTTTTTATGATCAGAACTAACTAATTATTCAAAATATTCATAATCTTTGAATTTTGGCTATGATTCATGACAAAGCTATAATTAGTAATCTAAATTCTTTCTTCCTACTAGTTTAAAAAAAAATTTTTAAAATCAATAAAAACCCATATTTGACCTGTTTTGTTTTTTAAACATCAAACAAAAATTTACAAAAAATGGTTTAAAAATTTTTTTTCATACTTTTATTATTAAAAAAAATAAGTTATAATTTCTCTCAAAATTTGCAAGAAGTTTTTTTTTCTCAATTCGACCAGAATGAATTACAAGAGCATTTAGCAGACATTCAGACACTGGTTTTATCTGATGATGAAAATAAATATGATGATGAGCCAGTAATCAACTTTAAGCAAAACTTATACAAACAAGCCTTAAACTTAGCTAAATATGAAGATAACTCATAGAAAGAGCTTGATGCAGATGATATAACAATTTTGTAGAAGACAAGCTATAAGAAAGCTAGCAGTAAATATACTGAAGAGATTTCTAAGATTAAAGCAAAGCCAATTTTACCATGCATCATAATCAATAACAAATATAGAAAAATATATTGCTGTAATGAAACTAGTAATAAGAGGTTGTGAGAACTCATTGGTGCCTAGAAAATTGACATAGATGCTGTTAATGAAGTTAATAACCAACTTCATCTTCTTGGAGTATGTTCGAAGCACTTTAATTACGATCAAAATACAGTGTATAGTAAAAGGTTAAAAGAAGAATGTTTAACTGAAAAAAGTTAGTTTAATTGCTACATTAGTTTTTTCTGCAATAAAAAAAAGGCTTTCTTTAGTTATGAAGTAAGTTGTATAGAGTATACATGGATTGTATTTGATCAAAAATTACAAGTACTTTGCCATAGAATAGTTTTTTGTCCAGCTATTAAAGAAAGCTCGAATATAGAAAATACAAAAAATTCACAAGGTGTTCATTATGTATGCTGCTAGTGTTATGAAAAGAATGAAGGCATTTGCATATATATCAAGGTTCTGGATATAGAAAAGATCCGGAATGTACTGCAGAGCATTCTGATGATACAACAACTACCCTTTATCGCTTCGCAAGGCTAATTAAAATGGTAGCACAATTAGAAAATAATAAAGCTAAAGAACATTTACTTCAAGTTCTTTTTCCATGTTTAAAAAATCTTGATTTTGATTCGCCACCCATACAAACAAATAGACTACCTAGCCTATTTGTAGCTAATATAGCTTTAAAAGTTAAAAGGTTAAATTTTTATAAACAAATAAGACAATTTAAATTAAACCCTAAAAAATGTAAAAAATTTAGAGAATTACTTGCCCTTGATGTTTTAAATTCACACACCACTTTATCATTTTATAAATCAACATTAGAAAGCCTGGAGTCTTTACAACAGTATTATGATATAATTCTGAAATATTTAACTAGTTTCTTTGATGGTTTAGTTCATACTTTGCAGCTCCAAAAGTATGAAATTGTCAAACAAAAATGAAAAGAGCACAAAAGTGTAATATCTGAATTTGATAAAAACGAAACAGTGAAAAGCATAGCTTTTCTATCTTCTGTTATTCTAACACTTGCATTCAAGAGTTAGAAATTTTGGCTTCTGCATATAATTAGATCTTTCTGTGAATGGCCAAAGCTTGTATCATATTTATGTTTTATTCTTCGAGTAGCAAATGTCATAACATACTCTAAAGATTATGAAGTAAAAATTTGAAAAAAATGTATATTAAAGGCAGATATACAAAAAAGACTAAAATTAGAACCAAATATTTAGAACTTGGCAGTAATAGACAATATCGATTTTAAAGAAAAACCATTCAGAGCTGGTAACCTGTTTGATAATATACAAGATACAGCTCATACTACCTTGTGCATGGTTTTTAGTTTGAAATGTCTAATCTAAATATATTACCTTCAATTTCAAATAATCTCAACAAAAGTTTGTGTAGAAGAAACTCGTTTACTGAACAGTGGATGAAAAATCTTACACAAATTTTTAATCAGTTGATAACAGAATGTCCAAGAGAGTTTGCTATGAATAAAATTAATGCTGTGCTTAAAGGAATAGTGGAAGGAGGATGCAAAGTTCTTTAACCAAATGTCATCATTTTAGAGGCAGGACCAGAACCAAATAGCAATCACGCAGTATATGAAACCTGTGAAATGTATATAAAAGATTTAGAGTTAAATCAAGAAGATTCTTTAGACATTGCTTGTGATGAAGCTATTTTTTGTCGACTTAAGGATTATTCCAATGATCAACTAAAATTAAATCCCATTCTCGGTCAGTAGCATATGAGCAAGGATATGTGCAGTACTTTAATTTTTGTATTTTCTGAATATGGGTTATTCGGATTAGCATCTAAACTTGGCACAAAATTTCTGAATAAGCTTCAGGATGTTGCTGATTACCAAGCAACATTTTGTGTTCTTGAGCTTGTCTGGTCAGCTGTAGCAATTGTTATCCATATATATATGTACAAGTATGGTATAACACTAACAGATATTGAGAATAGAAATAATAATGTTCTTAAAGTCTGGGTTCTATATTATCAGTGGGCTAGCTTGCTAAAGCTTTATAAAATCAGTATCTGAATAGGGAACTTCAAAGCTCAACATAAGAGCTTGAAGGCCTTTGCACCATTGTTTCCTGCTATTGAAAAAAATAGATATGCAGAATCAATATCACGTTTTTTAATGACTGTGGAAAAAAACCTAGCATTAAAAGCAAAACTTCAAGTAGTTGGATCAATAAATCTTATAGCAGATGAATATTTTTTAGCAATTGATGAAGCACTTGAGTATTTTGGTGTAAAATTCATCAAACAAAATATAACTGGATGTCTGACTGATCCAAACAACTTGAAACTAGTAATTAAGGCAGTACAAGATGAAAAAGATCGATTGATGGTATTATATGCAGAATTTGTAACTAATAATTGTATAAGTAAGTCCACACATGCAGAAATTGATCGCAAAGAAGCATTATGGAAACTAGTAGATACACTTTTTGAAGCCATTTCTTGTGATGAACCTGAAAAGCATCTACTCTTTGAAATTTCTAATCAGCTAACACCTAGTAGATATAAGAATATTTTTACTTGTTATGATGAAGGAAAAAAAAGAATCTCAAAAATTATTAGACAAGTTATTTTAAAAACAAAAAAACATATTGCAAAAGGACGAATAAAAAAGAATATGATACCTTTACTTCTGGGAAAAAAGGCTGCTCAAAGTAAAAAGCGAAAACAGGAAGCTGAATAGAAGATATAGTGTAAGCTGCAGTAGGTTTAAATATAGTTGGCAGTAAAATTACTGAATTATAGCATTACGGTATTTTACTATATAGTAGAATTAATTACGGCATAGTATATATCTAATTGCTATAATGTATTATGGCATTATAGCTCAAAAAAATTATGGCAAATTACCAAATTAATTCTACCACCAACTATAGGTTTAAAGAAATACTTCATAAAAATAAATTTGTTATTGTTGAAATTCTCTATATTATCTATAAAAAAATAAATTGTAATATATTAGCTTATTTTATATATATTTATTTGAAATAAAGCTTTGTAAATCTCACTTTTATATATAATTTTCTTTACATACTACTTTTTCCCATATCTATGAAGTAATACCTAATAAAGTATATATTTTCTTGAAGCCCATGCTTGTCTTGACCTTTTCAACTACTTTTTCTTTACTTCCTATGTGTATTCGAAAATAATCTTGAAAAAGAGTTGAAAATATTTATTGTTTTTTAAAGTACTAGTTATTTAAAAACTTACTGCAAACCTTCTCTGCAGTATAGAAAAGCAAGAAGTAGAGGCGACCCTTATAGAAATTAAAGATACAAAAAGGTTGGAGAAAAAGAAAGAACACATATTAGCAATGCTAGGAAAAGGAAGTAAATCTAAAGAAATCCGAATAAGAGAAAGATGGATTAGAGGTCTAGTTACGATAGAAGACTTTAAGGAGTTGAGATTTTATTTTAACTCCAACAACCAGATGAAGAGTTTCATAGTAAGACTTTGGAAGAATTGAATGAAAAAAGTGCATGAAAAAATATGAACCCCAAGATGCAAGTTGGTACAAGAATAGGAAAAAGAAAATGGCATTGGTCCAAGAGAAAAGAAAGGGTCTTATGAAAATTCCAAGAAAAGAAACAAGAAGAAGAAAAGAAAAAAAAAGCGAGGCCCCAAAGCAGATCCCTCAAAAAAAACTAATGAAGAAAATAGTAAAAAGAAAGAGGAGAATATGAGGTGGGAATCGGTATTAGAAATCTCAAAGAAAGAAGTACTAAGTTGGATCGAAGATGGTCAACGTTCAGAGTGGTGAAAAGTTAACATGTAGTCTTGACAAGTGGTAAGGACTGCCATTGAAGTACTATTGAAGCCAAATGCAGGATAAGATAGTATAGAGGCAAATCTTACTATAGCAGGTCGCACATAGGTGCTTAGTGAGCAACCGGGTGAGTTTTCACTTGTAATTTAAGTACCAAAGAGCTTAACTCTTTGGAAAATTTTAATAGTTTAGAGAATTATTACAAAGTCTAATAAAGTGAAGGCAAGACTGCCGAAGTTATAAAAAAAAAAAAAAAAAAAAACTTACTGCTCAAATAAGGTTGAATAAACTTAACTTTGTAGTGTAAAACATGTAAAACAAGGTTGTTTTATAAAAAATATATATATACTAGTAAAATTAAACAATTAAAAAAAAAACTGTTTATTAAATATTAAAAATTTTTTTAGAAATTGATAGTAGATCAATTTTATATAACATGTTGGATAATTGTGATATTAAAAAAAAGAATTAATTTAGAAATGAGCTGTAAAGGCTAAGATATTGACTTTTTTTTGTAAGACATCAATCTGCTTGATTTTTATTAATAGCAACCTATACATTGGCGAATTTATGACATAAATTAGGCTTAAAAATAACACGTATAGATATACTCAAATAATGTGCAGATGATCAAAATACTCGTTATCTTGAATTTTTTAAACAGACCAAACATGTTTATAAAAAAAACTTTCTGATTAAACAATCAAATGTTATGGAATCTGTGTAAAATATTCTTGTGTCATTACTAAATTGATAATCATTAATTGTCAAAGACCAAACAAGTGTTTATTTATAGTGAAGAATTTGTTAACTCTTTTTGTTGAGTTTAACTTTTTATTGTTATTAAAAAATAAAAAAACCCTGTATTTTTTGAAAGGTACATTAAAATAAACCTGACAGGCATTTGCTTGTTCAAGAATTATTACAACTTAGATTTCATATTTCTTTACTATTCATGTTACTGCTATGCTATTGCTAATTATGCCTGTGCTATGTTTGTAGTTGAATATATATTTAACACTCTATTATGTGATAATCTAATCAATATCTAAATTTAGCATATGAATTTATTAATTAATTAGATAATAATTAATTAAATAAATTGGCTAAATGATTGATCTTAACCTTGTGACTATTTTAGTATTTTGATTGCATTATTTTGAAAATTACAACCTTTTAAAAATAACTTTTTGTTATCTTAAAAAAATGATTCTTTTTCCTGTAATAATAAGCATCTTGATGACATATAATGTGGGCTGTCTTCAATAGAAATCAAGTGGATCGATGCTTAAAAAAAAAAAAATCAATATCTTGACTTTTACAGCTTATATATCGATCTAACTAATATTAAAAAGAAAGAGTTAATTTAGAAATAGGCTATAAAGGCTAAGGTATTACTTCTTTTTTTTTTGAAAGATATATATCGATCTGCTTGATTTCTATTGATAACAATCTGTATATTGGCGAATTTATAACATAAATCAAGTTTAAAAATAACATGTATGAGTATACTCGAATAGCGTGTGATGATCAAAATACTTGTTATTTCGAATTCTTTGAACAGACCAAACATGTTTTAAAAAAAAAACTTCTTGATTAAACAGTTAAATATTATAGAATCTATGTAAAATATTTTTATACTGTTACTAATTTTTAATTTATTAAATTGTAATATAAAAAATTGATGTTTCTTCTAAAAAAAATAAAATAAAATAAAAGAATAAATAATTAATCAATAAATAGTTGTGTTTTTTTCTTGTTAATTTCTTCAACGATTAACAATTAACACTTATCAAATAAAAAGAAAAATGCTAGTCTCCATTACCATGTTATATTATATAACGAATTACCAAAAAAAAATTAATTCTTAATAAAAATCTCTCAATTGTTGAAGCTTCAGGTATTGTAAGATCCCAAAGTCTAGACTCTTCCTTAAACATTATTTTAACTAGATTTTACTATCATAATACTATTCAAGAATTAAATTTATCTGAATTTGAGGACAAAGATATAGTCCTCACTACTAGAAATTTTTGTATCATTGAAGGCACTAGCCAAAATGATAAAAAATATTTTATTTTAAAAGTATAACTTACTTTTGTTATAAATATAAAAAATTCAATTAACAAATAAAACAACTGCTATCAATAAAAATCAGATGGATTACATTTTAAAAAAAATCCATATTTCAACTTTTATAGTCCATGTCTTGATGAATTTCGAAGCTATTTTGATAATTCGATATTCAAAAAAAAGAGGCTTTAAAGTTAAGCTTTATTTTGAATATTAAATCATTAAATTAGCTTCAAAATTCATCAGAACATAGACTATAAAAGTTAAAATATAGATTTTTTTAGAAATGTAATCTACTTGATTTCTATTGACAATGATTTAGATTGATTTTTTTTTTTTTTAACAAAAGATTACTTTAAATGACATTATTCAGTTTAATACCCTTAACTCTAATAATTTGCCTGCATTTTCAATATTGATTAACATGATAGCATTGGTTTAAGAATACCTGAAAATTGATAATGAAGATGTAGTCATTAATGTTTTGACCAAAAATTATATAGACCAAGGCTATGTAAATCTTAAACTAACATGCTATCATCTCACTTCTACACAATATCTAACAAATACAACCACTGTTATAAAGAAAGATTCTGTAATTTATATTAATGGTGAACTCATGATAACCAATAACAATAATATAGTTCATATATATAATGTTTCATTTTCAGTATCAGAAATTAAATACAGTTACAAAAAACAACTCAATATAATTTTTATGGAAATTGAAAGACCAAAATGATGCGAATTAACAAAATGCCCTCACCATTGCTTAAACTATAGCCACCAAAGTCAAAAAAAGCACCTGACACAAAAAAACCATATCTACCTCTAAACCATATCTTAAATAAACTCTTGTTTAAAAGTTATCGATTTAGCAAATAATCTTCTAAACAAACTCTTAGATCTAAATACACCTAATCAAACTGTTACCAAATAGATAAATATATTATCATTTATTGCATTGTAAATACATGCTCAACTTAAAATCATTCATCTTATTTTTTTTTTTTCTTTTTATAATAAATAATGATTATAATCCTTCATGCTTTTCAATATACCAGATGATACCTTCTTTAAATACTATAGATATCATATATAAATACTTTTCTACAAACAATTTTAACATATTATTATATATATTCATGTTTTTACCTGATGTATGTTTACATTTTTATTTACTGTTATATACTTACATTCATATAAATAACAAATAAAATGTTATATAGTCAGACCTCCCTAAATGCAACCCCTCTAAATACAACACCTCTCTAAATGTATGATAAAAGACTAGCCTCATGATGGGATTTATAGATAAATGCATGTTCTTTATTCTGCAATTGCATACTAATTGCCTGGCCCATTTATAAAAACTTTCTTCATAAATACAACCATGTGATTATCAGCCAATCAAATTCATTATTTCTAGGCTAATAAAGCCATATTTATCACATGATAATAGTAACATTATGATTTTATTAGTGTTCTCTAATTGCAACTCTCTCTAAATGCATGCTCTAGAGCTAGTCCCGATGCCTTGTATTTAGAGAAGTCTGACTGTATATTTAAAAGAATTATAACACAAATTACGCAAATCATAAAATGATTATTTATTACCTATCAACTATTTAATGCTTGAAAATAAGTTTAGTTTTTGTGTTTCCTATTTTTTGATTCTATATATTTATGAACCTATTATTATTTTTTTTATTTTTTTTTTATTTTGTAAAAAATGATTGTTTATTTTATATATAAAAAAAGAGTGATAATTAAACTTTTGCATGATGACATCAATTACTGATTATTATTTATTCTAATTTGTAATCCCATGATATTTTACCTCTACAAAATTACTAAATAAAAAGAAAAATAAATAATTTATTATTTAAATAACTAAAACCAAAATATTTATTATCTTTAATTAAAATAAACCCATACTCTACATTCTAATCAAATTTATTTTAAAATATCTAATTATATTAATTGTACCTGTGTTTTATATCTATGCAATAATACCTCCTAATTCTATCTCAAAAAAATTTACCCTTTTGTAGCACTTGTTTACTATATATTAATAAGTATTTTATAATAAAATTATTCTAAAAGCACTGGTTTACCATTTTTCATATCTTTAACTAGCCAAACTAAATGCAATAAATAAATGAACATAGTTGTTAAATAAATTCAAATTAAATTCCTTTAAGATTTTACAACTAACTCTTTCTACATATAACAATGATATATTGATACTGACAATTGTGCAGATACTTATGAGAATATTTGATGACCTTTATTTATTAAGCTTATTTATTTAATAAATATATGTAAATCTGAATAAATATTTGCATATCTTTACTATATATGCTCAATAATACAGAAAATATTTAACTTCCTAATACAGTTGTAAATATGATTAATAGTACTATCTATTAAAACTACTAAATCGCATCAATACTTTCTCGATTATAAATATCATTGAATTCTCAACTATAATTTAAATAACTCCATAATCAAATCTTTAATAAAACAACTACCTTTAATAAAACGAATCCCTTTGATAAACCAAATACCTCTAATAAAACAAATATCTTTGATTTAAATATGTTATTTCATGTATATGGAATTCTTGAAATCAAACCCTTAGAATACAACAAAGAAATAATTAATCTAACTTCTTCTAATGATAGTAACTCGCAACCACAGCACTATAACCAAAACAATATTCAATTCGAGAATTCAACTCATTCAGAAATATCTCAATGGATAATCTTAGAAAAATTGCAGAAACTAATGGAAATATTCGAAAACACTATTCTATCTCAATTTTCATACATTTCCTGTTCTATTTGCTCCAGACTTATATATTCAGAAAAATTGATATAGATTTATCAAAATTCTAATACTCAGTATCCACTTGAAGATTATAGATCATTAGTCACAACTTCAATTTCATCTACAAACTGTATCGCAATATGTCCCTCATACAAGATAAACCTAACATGCGATTATCCACTATACCTACATCTGATTCTAACTAAAATTGAATCAGTACCACTAAAATTATGCAAACACTTATCTCTTATCTTTCTTTATTGTTTTCTAGATAGAACACCTGAAGCTAATTCTTTCTCTGAATACAGGTCACTAATGAGTACTATGAATTACTCACAAAACTACAATTCTCTAAATTTATATTTAGGCTTACTAGGTACTTATCTTACTTTTCTGACTTCTACTCTATCTATACTTCCTTCCTGGTTTAATGGTACCCTAATTAATGCTACTAATTGGCTTAAAAAACAATCCATACAAATGCCAATATTCGTTAATAATTCCATGATTATCAAACTCAAACCTCTAGTTTCTTGTAGCTATTCATTCATCTGTCGATGAAAACACACCTTTATTTCAACACGGCAATATAGTGGTTTTCTACCAAAATTTTCCTACTAAAATCTACAACAAAGATGCAAACTATTGTTATCTAATAGCCAGATTTGTAGCCAATGATAATATAAACAGAATCCTGATCGCACTAAATGATCCATATCTCGAACTACTACTCTTTCCAGATCTATATCTTGATAGTCATAGCTACTATTATGATATGCAAAACCAGTTAGAAAATTTACAATGATGACACGATACTCTGGAAAAATATATAAAATATCGCTTACTTTCTGAAAATTCCTGATTTTGACTATATTACTACTGGCCCGTATAGGCTTATCTACAACTAAAAAAATTCAGAAATTTTTAAAATACTCAACAACTCATCAGACAATCCATGACTAACAGAGCTCACCGTTCACCTACAGCTATTGAAATTATTGAACGCAGCATCTATACTGACAGTTGGTGCTATAACAAAACAAATATATCACCTATCTCTACATTTATTTGTACAGATGATGGTTACTTTCAGAAAAAAAATATATATCTAAACACAATAATTTACAAACTTGACCTCCCAACAATATTCATCACATTAACAATGGCTGAAGATTCATGGACCCACCTTCATTAACATGGATAATTAAAACTCATTGCCAACTAACAGACTATTATATACAATATTACACTTTATTCACAGACCACAAAATATCAAAAAGTACATTTGGAAAGATCTAAATATTAGTGAATGAGGAACCTACTCTTACTTTTTTGACAGAGTAGA